TGGTAATACATAACATCAAAGTAGACATAACGAACTCTCGACTTGACTTAACAGTGAAGTACTAGCCTCACGGGCCAGCTTCCTAAAGGTCGTGCATGACAGTCAATGTAAAAAAACTAATTTACAGCATTGGATGCGAGGATATCTTTGGGTGAGACACAATATTTATGCGCATGTAAAGTGATTACATGGTGAGCTGCATAATGTTACGACAACAAACATTCCAAAGATGTATGCAGCTTAGTTACACACGATTGCTCCTGATTGTGCAGGCTTACAGAAGCATTAATACCCTTTTGAAAATTGAATAACTGCTGAGACTACACAGGACGGCCGAAACGAAAAGTGTACGCAACAATTTTTACATCCATCAATACACATTCAATATTGTCATCATTTATCAATACATTAACAAAAAATACTCAACTGCTATTTTGCTTAAAAACTAGTGATTTGTATACAATATAATTCATATAGCATCAATTAAACACGTCTGTGATTATATACTATATTGACATTATGTACAGAACATTTAAGAAAATATGAATAAGACAGACATCTTGCAAATTTATATCATGCTTAGCTACGGTAACATGATTGTTTTGATCAAATCCTTTGGAATATAATACACTAACGACAGCTGGACAGAGTGGATATAACATTATTTTGTCATTATCAGAAATTGAAATGAAAATGAAGGTAATGAAAGTGGCGTACACAATTTTATTTATCATGGTGATGACATAAACGATTACAAAAAACAAAAAAGAATCATCAATGATAGGTCTGTTTGCGTGTCCTGCGTACACACTCTTCAATTACGAGGACATTCCTTAACTGAAAACAAACATCATATTTAATTCAAAGCATGATAAGTTCATTGACATCTGAGTATGTCATAAGTATTCAGAACGGTAGCATAAAATGTTCTTCTTTAGAATTTTGATCACGTAAACTTTAGTATGGAACTTTTTATCAATTGAAAACAGTTTTAACCGTTTATAATCTCAATCATCTTAACATTCCACTCGCGGATTTGTCCATCAACGATATCATTGTAAATTTTCTGGTTATACCTATGCAACGATTTTTGTTTTGGTCTTTACTTGGCTTTTGTTTCACAGAAATTCACTGCTAACTGAATCATCCATTCACAGTCGTTTGGCTAGACTCATCAATTAATGGAAACTCTCCGTTCTTCGAGCTATTCCAATGTTTTCGCCGGTCAGCGCTATCGAAATTACACATCCCCCACCCTTCTTGTCCTATTCCAATAAAAGCAAGCGAATCATTGAAAAAACAACGTTGAAACCCACGGGCAAAACGTTCCTCATTTTCACTCCCCCACAGGCTAAAAGAAAACTTAAAATTGGTCGCTAATTTCATTTTCAGAGTCCCTCGATCGAATCAACGCTGATGGCTGATTTGGCCGCTGCGTTCACACCGGTTGCCTTTTCAAACGGATGTTGAAGTTAAAACACCGAGAGAAAGAGAAAAATGACCGAAGTTTAAGTAACCAAACCCTACGAGATTTAAAAAAAAAATAAGAGGAGTGTAAGCTCATAAAGAAAATCACTCCTTCTAAGAAATATACGAGAAATAAGGGGAATGAAATCAGCATTTCTGGTATCAATACATTGTACTGTATAAAGGATTCTTGCCAATCTCATCCTAGGTTTTCATCCTAGACTAAAATGGTAGCAGATGAAGGACTAGAAGGCATGTAATTAATGTAATACATGCTTGGTTAGTTGCGACCGAGTATTTCGCCCACAAGAAAGATCAAAATTTCACACCCACGAAGGTTTGGCATATAAATGTAAATCAATGGAATATTTGGAGGTAGTAAAAAGTTTAAGTTAAAAGAATGTGTTGCAATATATTCAGTGTCAAGGTCAGAAACACGGTTTTCATTTTTACTTAAATCATGATTTAATGGTATACCCTACGTGATAATAAAAATGGAACTTATAAAGAAGAAACTCGAATACAATCAACAGCCGACAACATTTTTGGTTGTTTGAAATCACACGTAGCAGTATCAATAAAAGTATAGTGATATAATCTATTGTAGTCGTGTCAGTGTATAGGAAAATAAAAGTAGTAGAAGAACATTAGTGAGACAAGTAGCAGTAGTAGTACTAGAAGCGGTAGCAATGGTATTGGTGGTTTCGGTGATTGTTGTGGTGGTAGCGGTGGTGGTAGTAATGGTTGCGGTGGTGGTAGAAGCAGCAATAGTAATACACTTTAGTAAAAGAAGTAGTAATAACAGTAAGTCGATGTGATTGTCTAAGAAGTACAAGTAGGAGCAGCAATAATCACAGTGGCCACATAAATAACATTAGCAATGTTAGAAGAAGCGCCTGCTGAACGCAAAGTCATCATTAAAAGAAACAAATTCGGTTTTCAAGGATAACAACTTTACGTCATATTTTCAAGCACGTCAGCGGATGTCAGTATGGCGCTGTATATAGCTCATCCTAATTATTGGTATGAGTAATAGTAAATAATGCAGTAGTTTATACCAATAGCAGTGATTCTAGTAGATTACTGGTAGTAGTAGCAGTGGTATTAGTAGTGGCAGTAGTAGTAGTAGCAGTAGTAGCCAGAGTAGTAGTAGTAGTATAAGTAGTTGTAGTAGTAGTAGTAGTAGTAGTATCAGTAGTAATGGTCGTAGTAGTAATGTAGTATTAGTAATACTAGTTCTAGTGGCATTAATAGTAGTAGTATAAGTAGTTGTAGTAATAGTAGTAGTAGTAGTAGTATTAGTAGTAGTGGTGGTGGTGGTGGTGGTGGTGCTAGTAGTAGTAGTAGTAGTAGTAGTAGTAGTAGCCGTCGTTGTCGTCGTTAAAGTAGTAGGAAGTAGTAGAAATAGCAATTGCTCATTACTAATTAAGGTACTAGCATATGGGTATTCAGAATGGTATACACCGTCCAGCAGACATGATATGGTCAATAAAATAGTGTACAAACAGAGGCAATAAATGCAAAGGTCCTTTTTTGGTAGTATTAAAGTATTAAAGATAACTTAAAGTCTTTGTGTCGTAATGAAACATGTGAAAGTCATGATCGTTGTTCATGTGCTTAAAATCCGGTGCAAGTACACTGTTGGTCATAATGGTGGAATATTTATTTTTACCCCAGTTTAGGGAAGGATTTTTTTTAATTATTTATTTCTAATAGATCTAGATAATGGCATACATTTTCACATTTTATTGAATATTAATTTGCGAGTGTTTGTTTTGCGTGACTGCTTAATCATATGTGTGCTACTATGCTAATCAGCTAAGGGACCTACGTCCTTCAGTCATAATTGACAGTAATAAGGATTAATGCCTCACAAAAGAGCACTAATATATAGCTGATTGACACGATTTTTTATCCTGGGGCCTCACAGTAACAAGGCCATTGCTTAGCCCCTGAATCATGACTGTACGCAGTGTTTGCTAGGGTACGCGGCCCCTTCCACAAATCCCCCAAAACGAAGAAAATGCAATAAATTATCAATAATTCATTGCATTTTCCCCCGGCCCCCAACAGGAAAAATTCCTCTTTGTGGCCATGCCTTGAACCATAATGCATGGCCCTACAGAGGAATTTTTCCTGTTGGGGGCCGGGGGGAAATGCAATGAATTATTGATAATTTATTGCATTTTCTTCGTTTTGGGGGATTTGTGGAAGGGGCCGCGTACCCTAGCAAACACTGCGTACAGTCATGATTCAGGGGCTAAGCAATGGCCTCATTACTGTGAGGCCCCAGGATAAAAATCGTGTCGATCAGCTATATTAGTGCCCTTTTATGAGGCATTAATCCTCATTACTGTCAATTATGATTTAAGGACGTAGGTTCCCTAGCTGATTAGCATAGGAGCACACATATGATTTAGGAGTCACGCAAAACAAACACTCGCAAATTAATATTCAATAAAATCTGAGAATGTATGCCATTATCTAGATCTATTAGAAATAAATAATTTTTTTAAATCCTTCCCTTAACTGGGGTAAAAATAATTATTCCACCATTATGACCAACAGTGTATTTTCGTTTTCTTAATGTCGTAATAGTAAATGGGTAATTATAACTTTAAGTAAATATAAAAACGATTGCATGTCATATCTTAAGCAGTATTGAAAAGATATCGATAGAAAATATGATTATATACAATACGCCATCGATTATTTTTATTAAAAAAGATAAGCAATTCTTTTCTACATTTTACAATAATATTGTCTGTAATAGTAGCACTGTTAGTAACAAGTAGAAAAAGTGACATTTGTACAAAGAGTAACGGAAAAAAGAGAGGAAGAGAAGCAGAAGAAGTAAGAAGAAAAAGAAACAAACACACACAAGAAAGAAAGAGAAGTAGAAAAAGAAGAAGACGATGAAGAAGAAGAAAAGAAGAACATGAAGAATGAAAAGAAGAAGAAAAAACAAAAAAAACAAGAAATTAATAAAGAAAAGAAGGAGAAGTAGAGAAGCAAGAAAAGAAGGAGAGAAAAAAAGGGGTTCGTTATTTGTTAACATTACTATCATCAGGTTTTAGAGAAATGTATATGAGAAACACATCTGACTATCTATCTCTTTACTTTTGTACAGTTCTAGTTTTAAGTAAGCATTAGTAACTGTTTAATTACTCGTACCATTGTTGTTAGCAGTGTTACCCTTGTGCAGGAAAAATATATTGAAAACAAATTTGCTCAAGAAGTACTAGTAGTGGTCGTGGCAGTAGTAGTAGCAGAAGTAGTAGTAGAAATGGAAACAGGGGAACTATGGTATTAGGAGTACCAGTGAAAGTAGCAGTAGTAGTGGCCGTAGTTGTTGTAATAGTAATAACATTATAGTTGTAGCAACAAAAGTATAGTTGTAGTAACAAAAGTATAACGAGCATTAGTAATCGTGGTAATGGCATTATTAATAGAAGTAGTAATAGTAGTAGTATATAAGTAGTAGAAGTAGTAATAGTAGTAGTATATAAGTAGTAGAAGTAGTAATAGTAGTAGTAGTAGTAGCATGCCTAGTAGTGGTGGAGGCCATCGTCGTCGTCGTCATCGCAGGTGTTGTATTCAGTTATCTTACATTATGATGCTCGCAACGTTAGTAATATATACTGTACAGACACTCATTCCAAAAAACAAAAGTTGTCCGGTGTTCTAGTATTTTCTTACACTTTTTGAGCGCATTAAATTTCGAAATCTTATCATAAGATCTGTACACTTTCAAAAGCGGATGATCGGTTGTATAAAAAATCAATTCATTTCCGATCAGACAAAGAAATCGTGTTTCCATTTTCTTTATTAACCTGAATAAGTTTATACAACCCCCTTATTCAATCAAACCTGGTATTTTCTTCCAATTTCGGGCGCTTATATCCAATTATAGGATTGAATGATTGTAAGAGGATCACACTGTTGTGTTATTATTATAATGAGATCGAGCAAAGCTAGTCATAAAAAGTTTCAATTCCGGAGAGGTTCCTTCTGACTTCCACAAGTGTCTTCAAATTACATGCGCAGATCTTGTTTTCAATACTTGAAGGTTTGGGCAAATAATACCTCAAAAGAGTACACAATCCTATGAATTGATCCGCAGTGAAATTTTTCTTTTCCAAATCAGTATTTTTCTTCTTCGTCTTAATGTAGTAAAACACATATTACTGTAATATCACTTCTGTTATCTTGATATTAAAATCGAATCCAATGTGTACAACTTATGTGATATTGGTATTATCCTTAGGACCAGAGGATTTGTATTGAGACATATTCATCAAAATTGTATAGTTAATAGAGATCATCTGTTAACATTCCCTCAAAAGTGAAAATATTTATTACCCAAATGATATCTATAAGATACCAACTTGTTTCTAGCTCTCCAATAATACGTATGTAAATAACAGGAACAGTTACGCTACAGTTGCTAAATTTAAATTTTAAAAGGCATCCTTGTAATAAATGAATGCTAATTAAAATTATAAAGTTTAAAAACATTTGGTCAACATAAGCAGTTTAACTCAAAGCAGTAAACGTTTGAGCATTTAACATTACCTATTCGAAGAAATAGCACATATGCAGTCGACTGAATTTTTATAAAGCATTGAATATTACTAATGAATTTGCCGTTCTGTCGAGCTTTATATCCTCTTGGTTCTGCATTTCTTGTCAAAACATACTGATATTTTTTGCAGGTGAGTGTTTGTCGTTGATGCCTTAGAACGTGCTTATTTCATTTGAAACATCAAGGAATCGTAGAAAATACCACTTTTCCTAGTTTAAAAAGCTGATAACAACACATCGATGGTGCTTTTAAGATATTCATTTTGAGTTGCAAAGACCTGAATATGATGCCTTCAGATTTAGATGACTTCATGGATTAGGCACGAGAACACTAGCAATAACATCTTGAGTGAATTTATCCCCCAAAGAAAGGGGATGCTTTCGAGTTCAATCAAAATAATGATCAATTCAAATCCCATTTTACTTCTTAATTTGTAAGACTGAAGTTACGTCTATGAACGGTAGTCTGACGTAAATGACTAGGTGCTGAAGGTGTAGGTTTGTATCTTGGGTGAATTCTCACTGTAGCCATCGCTGCCAAGTGTCGTCGACGGGGCGATAGTCGGGCTAGTGGTGTACTCGTTGTGGACATTGTGCAGTCGCATGGTGCCACCGCGCGTGTAGGTACTGCTGTCGCGAGTACGGCTGCGGTCGAACTTGCTTGCCTCGGGGAAACACCAGGGACACATGTCTGCCAGGTTCTTCTTGAAGTTTTCGCCGATGAACGTGTAAACGAGTGGGTTGAAGCAGCTGTTGCTGTAGCACCAGCAGATGGCGAGGGACCAGGTCACACGAACAGCCGTACTACGGGTCCAACCGATGGCCTGCCATATCTGCATGATATGAAACGGCATCCAGCAGACAAAGAATACCACTATGACAGAGATGGTTAGAAGAGAAACCCGCTTGGATGCTCTCTGTGCCGCACTACAAGCTCCATCCGACCTCAAGGGAAGGTTACTGCGTAACATCTTGTACAGCAGAGTGGTATAAGCCATAAGAATTACTACAAGAGGTAGTAAGAATCCTAAGACAAGATTGAAATAAGCATAGAAATGTGCTTGCCTGTCTGAAATGTCCACGGTGTAGCAGTTAGTAACCCCGCCGAAGGTCCTGGTGTTGTAGAAGAGAAAGGTGGGTAGAGTGAGTAGAATGGAGAGCACCCAAACTAGTCCACAGAAGATCCTGGTCTTGTTCTTGGTCCTGTACCGTATAGACGATAGGGGATACACCACTGCGATGTACCGATCAGCACTCATGAAAGTTAACGTGTAGATCGAAGCAAACTGATTCACTGAGTCACAACCTACTATCAGTTTACACAAAAACGCTCCGAATGGCCACGCCATGTAAGCAGATTGAACAGCTTGAAAGGGCAAAGTCAACACGAACAAAAAATCCATAATGGCGAGGTTCAATATATAAATGTTAGGTATGGTTCTCATGTTGTTGTATTTAAGAAGCACCGTGATGACTAAGCCGTTCCCGACCAGACCTGTAAACGTGATGATGCCGTAGACTATAGGAATACCAATAGTCATCCACTGAATCTCTGCCTTTGGAAACGTCATCATCATCATCGCCGTCTCATTCGATCCATTCATCGATTCTATCTCTTCATTCGTCACCATTAGTGACGTACTCAGCTGATACTGCTCCATTTCCATGTTCACTCTTGTTCAAGTAGGGTTCAAGAAATTCACAAATGATTACAAACAAAACACCATTCAGAATTCTAAAACATATTCAATTTTTTAAAACTTCCAGTCGATAGAAATGGATGAATATCACAAGTCTCCGTTCAGCCTCGAAAATTGCAACCCACTAAAGAATTTGAAAAGTTGGTATCTTTAAGACAAGAGTTGTTTTCGTTATTCCTGGTTTTTTATGTTACTTGGGCACCTTGGAAACCTTCTGCTGTAGATCCTTACAGGAGCGACACATCAACTTAAAGTTATGCAGAGCACACACAAACGTAAGAGTGACAGCGAACAATATTCTGCCATGAGTTATATTTCCCGAATAAGATGAGATATGCCCTGCACACCGTCTTTATAAAGACGCAACTCGTCACTAAATGAAAAAGTGAAGTGGTCCGTGCAACATTTATGATACACATGCAGGCGACACACTGCTCCCGCGCGAAAATCTACATTGTGCGGCTGCGTGAAGGAGGAGGGTACTCATTGTCACGTGATGCAGTCATATAGTTGCTCCGCTAGCCAATCACGAATCGCCTGCAGCAGTGAGTTTTGGATGCTGTTCGCTATTAAGCACTAGGCACGTCAGCCTGAACGCGAATTGATAGGGTAGTATTGAAGGTTGGGTGGTTAAGATTTCGCCTCGGGATTCATATTCATTTAATTCAATAAGGATGAAGATAAGTCCTGTGTATTTATTAGAAAATGGAATAGTAGTAGTTGTAGTATTTTTCGCTCTATACAGAGCGAATTTATTTTAATTTCTTTCCACATGATATAAACAATGAAAGATAAACTTTAATGATATTACAGAAAATTAGCATTGAAATATCTTTGACATTGTTTTTAAAAAAGAAAAGGAAAAGTATCGGAGCTTCAAGACGTATTTGCTTTAGGAATTACAGCTGGCTATATGTATAAACATTAACAAATACATTCTTGAACTCCTTTTCGTCGTGTTCGTGCGTTTTTTCCTGTCTCTCTCTGATACGTCTTGAAGTTCTGATACTTTTCCTTTTCTTTCTTGTCTCCTTTCTCTCTATCTATCTCTCTCTCTATCTCTCTCTCTCTCCCTCTGGTATTTCCCTGCCTATATAGCTTTTAATCGCCCACAATTTTGTTCATCTTTAATTTCTCTCTCTGTTTTGTATTTTTAACCATCTACGTTATACGAAGTATACCGATTTACTAGTCCCTGTATGGGTAAGAAATTTTGGCACAATCTGGGGCACCAATAACCTAAAGTGTCAACATGAGCCTACAACTTGGCTTGTTTTGTTTTTTCAAACTCCAGACACAATCTGTTTAAATAAAGCCTTAAAAAATTCTTAAAGATATGATATATTTGATTTCGTCGAAACACAACAATAAATATTTGATATGTGCTCAGCGAAATATTGTTTTTATAGCGTCTTCACCTTTCAAAAATAATGTATCATCAGCAAGTTAACTTTAGACTTGGGAAAATTAGGTTATCAATTTACATTTAGGAATTAACATGATCATATGATTATCATATTAAAATTACAAGTCATAAATGTGGATTAATGTTCAAATGAAATAGATCTGCGATGATAAGTTTTTTGAAATAATATGATTTATATGATTTATATGATGTTATATGTTTATGGACAGAATATAGAAATGTACCGATGGTGTTTCTTGAAAACAATACAATACAGTACGTCTCGAACAGAAGCTAGCGAGCGAATCGTCCAAACAAACATTTTGACAATGCTTTACTCTACAATTTGGTTATGTAACAAATAAACAAGAACAAATAATGTACATCATGATCACGAAAAAAGAATAAGCACGTTTTCTTTATATATTAAAAAAGGTACTCCGAACATTTGGTTCCAAGCACCATTTTGTCCTACCGGCGCGTAGTGTTGGGTTTAAGGGTTTAAACTGGATGAAGGCATGGTGATCTTCACCTTATCCTAGCTTCCTCCAGCACCCCCAAAACGGCAAAATAAGTATTAGCGAAAACCAACAATATGTAATCCAGTCCACAACACTTCATCCACCATGTCGTATTCAACGTATTCAATGCACATTATCCTAGTGTGACGCAATTCCGCCATGTCATTTTGGTCAAAGATAAACTTTGGCTCTTTCATAGACAAACAGGAAGATTTCACCGTGGAAAACTAATACTTTATGTGAGCACTTGTTTGCTAGGTCGAAAGAAAAGGGACGCATTGGTGTTTGACTAAATTTGTTATGCAAAGAGTATCTCTTCTTCTCTTTTCCCCTTTCCCCTTTTTCAATCTCTTTCTCTCTTTCTCTCTCTCTGTTTTCATTTTCTTTCTTTATATTTTTACTCATCTAAAAAGTTGGCGTATCGGAAATATTTACCACTAAACGTATATCAAATTGGTCTACTTAAACATCGTTCATTCAAAGATTCAAAGACAAAAAGGAGCAATTTTACATTAACTTATTTTTTAATATAGCATGTCCCGTCGCAGCCTTAGCGTGAACGATCTGACTGTTCTCAGGCTTCATGGGCACTGCTAATGGCCACTTTCCCCTTAAAAGATTCCTTACTAAATTTACTTGTAAAATAAATTTGAAATGACAATTAGCCACGACGCCAGTAACATACTTTCATTATGCCCTCTGGAACTTAACTACCGTTTTTGTGTAATCTATGTAGGAATACCAAAGTGACATAAGGTCCAATATTATTTAACAAATCCCTATATTGAAAACTAAAATAAGAAGGAATGTCACCGATTTTTATAACGTTAGGTTGCCGATATACATTTCAAACTTTTGATAACTTAACAATTGAGGAAAGTAGTACAATAGCAGTGAGTGAGAGAAAAATTTAAAAAGAACAGTTGATTCACGAGTGGAAAAACATGACAAAAGAAATTGTTCATTACTCCCTCTAAATAGATATATATATATATATATATATATATATATATACCTTAGGCAGGAAAGCTGAGATTCCAAATTCCTTTGTATGACATGAGGGAATGGAAAACGGAGGAGGAAACAAACACGTGAACATCCGCACGCCCACACCTACACACACACGCACGTGCGCGCCGGCCTACACATGCACCCACACACATAACCATCCAAAGGTGGATACAACAAAAGATATACCAGATAAAACCTTCGAAAATTGATGGTAAAACAAAAAAGTGGATGAAAAAGTAAGTAATTGTTTTGTGAAAGAGAAGCCGATGAAACTTGATGGAATAAAGAGAGTATGCAAAAGGGGATAAACAAGGCCAAAGAATATTCAGGTCGCCAAATATTAAATAACTTCGCCCAATTTTCCCATTGGGCTGTTGTAGCGTGTCGGGTAGATCAATAACACATGATGAGCACGAGAACTAGAGCGAGCTTGTGTCTTAATTCAATCGAGACGAATTGACCAGGGCTCAAGCGTCTCGCACACCCATCGAATGTCACTAGATCCCGGGTCTATAATCATCATGACCAGGAGCATAACTTGATAAACCCGTAAAGCAAATTTTAAAAAGCGTCATATCCCATTTACTCGTACTTATATAAATAATGTATGATGTAAAATCATTGACAAATATGTTTTCGAAATATTTATCGTGGGAGCTTCAACGAAGAATGACATCAGTCAACATAGAAATTAGAGTAAAGCCATCAGCTAAATTGTTGTGGATGACAGAAAAACCCTGAATATGAATCAATAATTACACTGAAAACACTCTAATTATCATACTATTTTTGTAAAAACACAAATCATTATTTAATTTGTTTTTTGTTGCTACTTCTCATTGAGTGCACAAGTTAGGTAAGGCTAAAAGCAGATGTGCACCTACCCGAAAAATGACCAGATGTCATATGAAGTAAGATTCCAAAAAAGGTTTTTATGTAGCCATGTCTCATCTTACCAGAAGTGTGTTTGCCAATTGGATAATGCTCGAAATGCTATGAATATAATGTCTGATTTATTTATTGGAAAGAGCGGAAGATTATTCCTTAAAATTACACATGAACAGATTTCTAGCTTCGAGTTATCCTATTAGTATGAGACTTCAAAGTTTATGCTTGAACGAAGCAGTCCTTTAAATGTCCTCTTGACATTTTAACGGCTGAAGGCACTTTATTTTTCTTCTACAGAAAGGCACAAAAGGGAGGACAATTCTATGTTTTTTTGCATAGTTCCAGATGAAAATTAAAATTACATCATCATGAGATGTGTAAGAAAGAAGATGGGAATAAATGCCTTAAGGAGAACTTGAAGCAAATTCGACATCCAAAGTTCAAAGAAAGGAGGACGAATCTTCGCAACAACGGGGTGACGAAATTTAATTTCAAGAGCATCTACCTCTCAAAAAGAGAACACTATCTTGATTTCATGATTGGTATGGAGGCGAATAACCTTAAACCCTCCAGATTCATAAGATTTTAAAAATTTCTTTTAGCTTGAAGGCAAAGTAAACGATCTGCACATCGTAATCAAGGTAAGTAATAAATTTGATAAATTAGAATTAACCTTCTTCTTAAAAAAATATGAGAACGTAGAATGCCAAATGGAGGTTACGGAATCCTACAAATGATATAACACAGCTTCGATTCATCTTTTCTCTCTTTCCCTTTTGTGTACACTTTTACAACATTTTAATTGACTTTAATTGAGCAACAGGTCAGGGTACATGCTGGACCGTTAGCGATGCTCATGGGTTCTTCCTCCAACAAATACACACATACACACCGCCCTGACCAAAAACCAATCGATTCTACCCCCGCCATGGACTCATTAGCAGACGATCTTTACTCCAGACACGTGAGCAGCATTCTGACAAAGGCGGGAAAGATATAAAATAGAGAAAGAGAAAAAAGAGAGGAGAAGAGACAGCAATAGATCGAGAAAAAAAAAAGAAAGAAAGAGAGAGGCGGGGAGATAGTGGATTGAGAAACGAATCGACTCACTAAAAGGACGGTAAACAATCTCAAAATACTTATGGTCGTAACAGTCTTGTTTACAGCTGAGTTGCATGGGCATAAACATGCCAACAGACTAGTCCTACTAGGGTCAGCAAAGAGAAGTCCATTTGCCCTGAACCCGAGTGAAAACATTTATTTCTGCTTCTTTGTAATGGAGAAAGGGTGCGTGTGTGCGTGTGTGTGTGTGTGTGTGTGCGCGTGTGGGTGTGTGGATGTTGGTAGCTGTATATGTGTATGCATGTTACTAACTTTTTGTTTTCTTTGATCTTGAAATTATTATACTTGTGTCAGAATGAAGAAATATAATATGTGCATTTTAATGAAAAATTATTTGAATCAATACATTGTGTCCAAGGCATTAAAAAAATCAATGCTAGTTGTATCTTTTTTGTATTACTTCACTCCAATTTT